AGTCGGTCGAACTTGCCGGCAAGTAGTTTGGCGGCACCCCGGGGCTAACCTCCCTTGCCCTGCGCGCGAAGCGCGCTGCGTGTATTTTTGGATAGTCGCCCAAGGGCGGCTGTGGTGGAGGGGGTATTGTGCACTCGCCAGCGAGGCATTATACCCTCTCACGTTGGTGCTGAAACGTGTGGGTACACAGCAGTAGTGTAGCTGCGCGCTCCAGTGCCAACGTGGATTACGGTAGCGGTCACTCATCGGACTGTTAAAACCGGCTTGTCATTCGCGGCTAGTCGCACGCGATTTTCTCGCGCGGCTGCTGGTTCAACGACACCCCTTTAGTGCTAGTGCGCCCTCACCTTAGCGCACGCCCTTTCGTCGTAATTTCATCTACAGCGCGAATGCTTGAAATATAATTAACTACCGGGTGATTACAAACTCTTCCTTCCAATTATTCCGTCTGAAAGAAAGCGTCGTGACTCCTTACTCAGCTTGTTTTTAGGAGATTAAGCCTTGGTGATTCCTCGACAATGGTTGTGCAAGAAACCGTTCGCGGCAAAATTAAGATCCTATCCCATGTACAAATCTGGCTTGGAACCCATCATTCACGATAAGCGAAAATAATCAAAAAATTGCGTTCGTTTCCTCGAATAATTCGAAAAGGAAGGACTGCTACGCGCTGAAATTCCCGCCGCGCATCTGTCACAATTGTGCATCAGGAACAAATCCACTTAGGTGTGGGAGTGCCAGTGATTACTAAGAATTCTTTTTAGCCTTCTCTACCTATTGCACTAAGTTTCTTTTTTTCTACTGTATCCTATTCGTTCGATCATTTTGCCTTTCATCATTCTCCGAACTCGAACGCTTAAAACCTTTTCAATGCGTCGCCTGATACGTGGCCGCCCCAAGCGCACTTCTTTCCATGCGTTCCCTTGTCTCCGCCCGACCTACCCGCGACCGTCCCCAGAATGTGGTTTTCGTAGGTTTGTTTCTCTTCCCAGCCTGAATTTCTTGCGTGAAAGTTTGTACGTTTTCTCTAATGATCAAGCGGGCCTATTCATATTGGGAGAAATTTTCCCGAGATGATTCCTTTGAATTGTGGGAAGAACCTAACAATCGCCCATATTGTTTGTTGGCAGTTTCCCCTCCCTACTTTTAGGTTGGAAGTTCACTTTGCTTATCAAGATGAAGAGAAGAGGGTTATTGAGAGATCACAGTTTTTTCATTAGTAGTAAAGGATTAGTAAGGAACGAAATTTCAAGATACGTTCTTATTTGGACGCCTTCAATGGCATGTTACGGCCAGTACGGAAGTGCAGGCCCTCGAACTTCGTGATCTGTTCGGTGATCACGGACTGTTACGATTCGACATCGTGTCAACGTAAGTGTTTATTATAAGTTGTATAATAAACACTTAGTGTTTGTAGCAAGCCTGAAAATGTGTTTTGGTAATTAGCAAATCCGAGAATTGTAATACCACTTTTGGGGGAGCTTAGTTATGGTCAAATTTAAAATTTGCTTTCCTGCGCGTGCGCGGCGCACAGCATTGGAAGCCTTTTAGCAATGCTCTCTATTTTTCGAATTCTGAAGCAACTTTTTCTCACGGCGGGCGAAGTGGGTCGGGAGACGATGATGGTGTCTGTCTTACATCGGGTTCGTTGATTCAAGCTAGAGGAAAGATTGATAGTTCGATATGGCTCCCCTTTGAAGAGATATATACTGTTTGAAAGGAGAGTATACAGGACGTTGACCGCGAATTCCGTCTCTGAAAAGCGTTTACTGTGCGGTGAGCGTAGAACAAGCATAGGATGGGGTCATATTTTGTGATCTTAGAGTGGATTATGCTAGACGAAAAGATATTACATGTGAGACATGGAATGGAAAGGGGTATCCATTCGAGAGGGTTCGAAAATTCCGCAGTGCTGTTTGAAAGCTTGTACACCCCTCCCCCAATCCTTCTTCCCCCACCCAGCTCTTATCCCTCGACGAATTTGTTTGAGATGGAAGTGTGTAGTGGGTGCAGGAAGTGTCAGGTTCATAATCTATAGAAACACAGAAATAGAGGAATCGTAAATTCTTTGAAACTTGGGTACAACGCGGGACGACTTTTTCATATTTGACTAAACGTTGCTTATGACAATGTCACGGAAGCTCTTCCCCAACGCGATGCCGGCAAGCCAGTATACAGGGGAACCCGATGAGACTCGAGGCAAAGCGGAATCTGGGAAGAGACACTAGGGAGGATTATCAACTATTTCGCTCAAACGATTATATTCCTGGTTTCAGGAAGCGCTCGCTTTCAGGTAAAAATAAACTGCAGCGGCGAAACATGAGGTGGAATTTTGATTTTGCAGGACAGGCAAAGCGAGTGGTCCACAAGAAATGCTGGGTTGAGAACAAAACCTTCGCTCCAGATTCTGACAGCGAGCGAGTATTTTCCAAAAAAATGGATGTAAAAAATTATTACTTCCTTCATATTTGGAACTTTAGTGTTGATATTCGCAACTGTTTTTGTATGTATCACAATTCCTCTGTAGAGCCTTTTCCGAAAAAATCGTTAGATGTGAGTCTTTGAGAAATTCCCAGATGAATATACTATTAAGATGGGCAGTCTGCAAAAATAAAAAAGTGGAAACAAGGGAAATGAAAAACTTGGCTTCAGTGGGGATCGAACCACAAACCCTGGTTTCGACGTGTTTTTTAAGCCTTCCCAGACCCGCTCAAGAAAAAATGATCTTCAAATCTATGCTCCACACGCGTGCCGCTATAATATGTCAAGATCGTTCAGAAAAACACTTCACGTCTTGAAAGGCTTTCCTGGTTAGCACAGCAACCCGTCTCATTCCTCATTGTGTTAAAACGGAAGCGGAACATTTCCGTGTTGTCCTACGCATTTTTTGCCACACTGATTAGTGAGTGTTGTTTTTGCAACAGCTTTTAGCGAATGTAGAGAACATACTGTAATCGGAGTCTAAAGACGCTGCGGAAGTCGTACATCTTATCCCAGGCGGTCTCGCCCTTACCTTGCCAGCACAACCTCTGCCTCCAGAAAACTCGTTGATGTGATCGTCTTGACTCACGCTCACAGTATCTATTTTAGAGGACAAAAACCCTACTTACCATTCGAGAGGGACTCCGATATGGATTGTCGACGGAACTTTTCGCAAGAAAATCCGATACGGTGCTTCCTCGCCGGCGACCTTCGTGCCAACGAACAGGTGACTACTAAATACTATTGTGATGTTGGGTTGAGCGAACAACTCTGTTTTCGATTACTGTCCTTAGCTGTTTGGTCGGTCGAAGCGTAAATACATAGTAGCCCCATAACATTGGAAGTGGGAGGCTTTGGCTGGTTACGGCTTTTAAAGTTATTTTATCTGACTAAAGTGAGATTGCATGATAAGGTCAAAAGTCGGAGAAGGGGAAACTGATTGAAAGGGAAAGACAGATGGACCTCCTAAGGGTGCGGACCGACACGCAATTCAGCGAAGGATATGCCCCGGCGACCTAGCATGGCCGTCCCGCGGCGCTATCGACGCGGCACGCCCACCGACTGGCTAACCACTCGCCGCAGGTCTCTAGCCGTTTAGCAGAGAGAGCGTTAGCGTTGAAGAGGGCAGCACCGATGATAGTAGCAGTGCGGAGGGCAATGCGGAAATATCGGGTAATGACGGGGCCTATTTCTCGGTGGCCACTCCTCGTAGTTCCTTCTTTATCCTGGCAACACTGACCACCTCTACCTCAATTCTAGTGGGCTGCCTCCTGATCGTAAATTTGGGCTTAAATTAGGCAAGTGATACGTGTACCTGCTCTTATGTCTCTAACTTTTTTCTTATCCGTAAGTAATTTTGATACAAATATCTGATTCCAAAAGAACCAGCTTTCAGCTGGGTTTGACTGCAATGCACACGCTTTTCCTGCGTGAACACAACCGAATCGCTGCCAAGCTACTGGAGCTGAATGTGAATTGGGATGGAGAGACGATTTTCCAAGGTGAGGCCTAATTTTATAAAGCAACAAAAAAGTTTTTTTGTGGTTGTCAATCACAATGAGTAATTTCTCGAATTCTCAATTTATGAAAAAAGTACCTTACAATATTTTGTACAATCAGTATTCAATTTCAGAAGCACGAAAAATCGTTGGCGCTATCATTCAACACATCACCTACAGTGAATGGCTTCCAACTGTCATTGGAAAGGTTAGATGGCAAGCATACTTGTGAACGATAGTTTGGGCCTTAATCAGGCTATGGACAACAATTTCTATGATGCCAATCCATGTTGCCTCTCCGCAAAATATGGGCTCAGCCTTCTTCACATTCGACTTTTCGAAGAATTCCCTGTAAGCACCTGAGGTAAGCAAACCAGCCCTTTTGGCGTTTCTGCTGGGGCCGTATGCTGAATGTTGGGGAGGGGATGGGGTCCCCGAGGTCGACGGACTACTTCAACTCGGTCGGTACGGTAGGAGAGTATGACGAAGTGGTGCAGCTAGGTCCAGCAGCTCCGCCAAAAGGGCTGGTTTGCTTACCCCAGGACTAAGCCTTGGAGAGGGGACGCAGGTCCGTCCTCTCTTTAAGGCTTAGTCCTGAGGTAAGCACAAATTGAGGCGGTTTTAAGGACCGAGTTGAAGTGGTCCGTCGACCGTCGGGGACCCCATCCCCTCCCCAACATTCAGCATACGGCCCCAGCAGAAACGCCAAAAGGGCTGGTTTGCTTACTTCGTAAGCACCTCAGATGCAAGGAATGAAGTTCGGCATTGGCTAATATTTTCCAGGATGTGTCATTTCAGTTCCGCTCAGAGTCGTGATGGCATTGAATACAATTTGACCTATGTGGGGTTTATGAAACTTCGTGATGTCCCACATTCGTGGACGTTAGGTTTTACCTTAGTTGGATTAATATAGCCAACAATTGGCCATGTCGTCGAGCCCAGACATATATTGCAGAAATCACTAACAGCAAATCAGACTCTCCCCAGGCCTCACGCTGGACAGTTATGAGGGTTATCAGTACCTCGGTCAGGTTAACAGTAAAGCTTACCGTATTGATCATTCCTTCTCACTTGGCACCGTGCAGTTTGTTTTCATTCAGTACCAACGTAGCGTTTGTATGCGATAAGATCCAAATCATAGCTTTAGGAACAGCCAACGTATGTATAAGTCAGTGTTCTTATTCTCTCGTACAGAACTGGTGTTAACCGAACAATGCAAGTCCTGGCCAACCTGGGCAGATTGAGACTTGTCCAGGCAAATTAAGTAGTAGAACTGTCAATCAAATCATGCGCTTGATTAGCAGCCCAACTTGGCGCCA